GGAGAGGTGGATGGATGGAAGGAACAGTAGGTGTGCATGTGTATCTGGTTTCCTTCCTCATCAGTCAAACTGAATAAGCAATATTTTCCCTCTCACCACAGCTGGGTGTGACCCATGCTCCACAGTGACTGGGGCTCCACTGGCCAGGCTACCTCCATGACCTCAAAGTTTTCAGTGGCTTCTAGCAGATACCCCATGGTGCTGGCAACACCTCACACCCCAGTTTGGAAATTTCCAGTGTCCCCTATCTGCAACACCGAGGCAGCTGGTCATGTTCTACCTGCTCCTGAAGTTTCCTGAGTCATCTGCCTGTTTGCCCTGGCTTGGATGCTCAATGTCAACCACTTCTCTCCTCTTCTCCTTGCCCTGGCCTTAGTACTCCAGGACCTTGGCTGAGTGTATGGGTGACAGAGTCAGGTTTATGGGCCTGTGCCTGAGCGCAGGGGCTCTCTTGGGCTCATTGTTGACATCTGCATGTATATTGCGTGGTGCTTTGTTATGGCGTGTGGGGGCATGGCCTGGGGTGCCCAGTTCCAGGGGCTTGTGCAGGGGACACAGATGCCTCCTTTCTCCATGCTGCCTGCTTGTGGCTGACACATGGCTGGAGGCAGGACACAGAGCTGGGGAGAGGGGATGTGCTGGCATGCTTTTGGGAGAGCCAAGGGTGGGGCCTGCTAGGCACCTGGCTGGAGCAGGTGAGTATGGGTCGAGTGTTAGTGTGCCTCCCTGTAATGGAGGGAGGCTGGGATGCCAGAGGACAGCAATCTAACTTGAACCAAAAGGAAATCAGTACAGAAGTTCGATACATCAGTCTAACCTAAATCGATCTGAATTGAGTGTACCTCTCACCAGGTCTATCTTAGGCAGCTTGTGCCATTTTTTAGACCCATCTGTGTGCACCAGACTTTTGTCTGGTTATGAGTTTAGACTAATTTCCAGTCACTTAGACTGGTCTAAGTGTTATGTCTGTATGTGCCCTTAGTGGTAAATAGTAGTAATGGAGAAAAGTGCAACAGAAGAACGGTTGACTGTAGAAAGAAAATGTAATATTAATTTGGTGTTTTAGGCTGGGAAATGGTATTCCAAAGGAAGTAGAAAAACCACAAATTAAAAAAAAATCTAAACAAGAAAAAAACCCTAGAAAATTTACTGTGAGCATTGACAAACTCTATCATCTCACAGATCCTTTTGTGGTAATGTTTATGATTCTGCTAATTTTAGAGTGATCTAAACAAGCAAATGGGGGTTGTATGTTTACAAGCCTCATTTTAGTGCAAACAGTTATTGACAATGGCTTAGAAGTCATAATGATTTTGAATGCATTAGTAGACTGGGATTGTCATTGGATACATTAGTAAATCAGGATTGACTCATCTTTGTCTCCTTCCTCTACAAGGCTAACTACTTAAAAGTTGCTTCTGAATGATATATTCTTATCATTATATAATAGATGCATATTATAGTAGGCTCCAGAAACTTGTTTGAGGGTGCCTGGGTGGGAGAGTAGTGTGGAAACGAAAAATACTGGATCTCAAAGATTCAGTAAATAGATGTAAGAATTCAAAATAAATGGGTTTGAAGGAAAGTATGAAGTGTAGATGGTGGCGGGGTAAAGAGTTAAGAGGGAGAAGAGTGTTTTGAGAGGCAAAGATAAAGTGATCTTATCAGTAGCTGACTTCAGAAAATGTTTGCTTATTGCTCTCTAACCAAGACTTAATTTGATTAATTTCTTTGGCAGATCCTGAATTGTGGACTCAGTACCTCAGCCTGTTTATTGTCTCTGCAGCCCTAAGTTTGCGTAGTTAGCTATTGCCCATTTTTTGTGGTTCTTCCCTTGGTATGAGGCACCCTTCCATAATTCATGCTCTAATTTAAAAAACCCTCATAATGTCATATCCATTTTAGTCATTTTTAATAAAGCCCTGAAATCTCAGGAAGAACTAACAAAGATCCATCATTTCTGTCCCTTCTAATATTTTTCTCAAGTCAGTTGAAGAACATTTTCTGTTTGCTGAGGCTTTAGATGGAGTTTTCTTAACCTAGGAAGCAATGTTTCATAGAGATAGGCCTTGGAGAGTGAAGTATTTTGTGTATGCAAGTGCTGGAAAAGTGGCTTCCAGTTATTCCTTACCCTCCTTTATTGCTTGATATACTGCATCTGTATTGTAACTAATTAAACTTGTATGCCTAACTTTCAATAGGGGACATCCTAAAAGCCCGTTCAGCTGATCTACAAAAACATGTAAATTTCATAAACAATTCATAAGTCTTGATTGTTAAGAAATGTTGAATTGCAAGAAGCAAGGGAAGCAGGAATAGAGCTATCCAACTATTTTTAGAAAATGCATACTGCTTTAGCTTGTCATGTTTGGTATAATATCACATCAGACTGTATTGTTTTTTATGCTACATACAGATACAGTAATAGTAGCCTCAAGGGCAATCCCTGTGGTTTTTCAGTGTGCCTTCTGCTAATTGCACATCAGTTGCATTTTGCTAATGGATCCTAGTATGTGCATTCTGTTAGCTTCTCTTTGCTCTGTAGAAAAAATTGAAGCAACAATAGCTATCATTAAGTACTTCAGAAATAAAACTTGCTGGATATATTAATGCTTAATATCTTTTTTATAGTTATTTTGGAAGCTAAGCAGGGATTTGGTATAAAACAGGCAAATAAGATTTGGGATAGGAACAGGCAAACCTAGGAAAATCTTGGGATTTTAAAATTATAACAATGAAGTGCAAACAAGCCTATTTTCAATATACTTTCACCAATTTCATTGGCACCATGGATTATATGAGTTCTACATAAAATAGGAGGTAGAGAAAAAAGTATAAATTTTGACCTAAATTAGTTAATTTTCCTTGGCTATTAACGCATCTTTCTACTTTGCGAATAAAGTAAATCTTTTGTCATGTATGTTTAAATGTCTTTTGAATGTTAAATGTATTTCACTGTAATTATGGTTTGCTTTGATGTATGGTATTCTTTCACAGCTTTTCTATCCTTTCTGATTCTGAAGCTATGATCCCAAATCTCCTTTCAACTTAGGTCCATATACATTATTTTGGTTAGTTGCTTTTATATTAATTTTTATTTAAATCTATGATGATACACATTTTTAGTTTATTTTCAAATTACAATTTGAAATATTAACCACCTAAGTTTGCTTGAAAATTAAATGCTTCTTTGTATATTCAGCTTTAAGAAAACTGTTAGCTTTTAAAAAAAATCAACAGTTCTTTTTTTGTTTGTGTAGGGGAAAATGCAGTGTTGCACTTCTGAATGAGACAGAATCCGTGTTGTCATATCTTGATAAAGAGGTAACACGTGACTAAATCTTTTATTCTTAAGTAGTGGGATATGTGGAGTCCATCATGAGGTTTTTTTTTACTGTAGAATTTTAGTAAATGAACAGAGAAAAGTACAATTAAAA